GCTGCGGGGGGTTGTGTGGGCGTGGAGAGGGAGAAGGAGGCCCAGATGGAAAGGAAAGGAAGAAGTCTGGGGGGCGCTCTCTGGAACCCGCACCCTGCTGACCTTCCCGTCGGAAACCACTGCAGCCCATTTTCCGAATGGGAACGCTCCTCGGGTGGTGCGGTTCTCTCCGTTCCTGCGATTGGGACACTAAGACTAAGATCAAACCAAGTTCTCTGGGCCCACAGGTCCTCTGGGAAGAGGCCCGGCGTCAGACGAAAACGGCGACCAGGTGCGGGACGTGCTGGAGGACCCCGGGGCGCGTGCCCCGGGTGCGAGGCTCACGCTCCGCCCGCCGCGGGGGCGCCGCCGGCTCCGCGCGCGGATCCGCGCCTGCATCTGCCGCTGCGGCCGGGCTCCGGCGCCCCCTGGCGAGCGGCCTGGCGAGCGGCCGTGCGACCGCCGCCCACCTCCCTTGGCCGCCCCGACCGCCACCACGCTGCTAGACGAGGTTTGAAATCTCTTGGTCAGTACACCTTAAACATGAAAACGGTTCTAAAATTAACCTGAACTACTGCTTTGTTTCCCCCTGATGTACCCAAAGAGAAATGTGTCTAGATTTCTAAGAAATAAGAAATACAAAGTTAGAAATACTATGTTCTGACACAAAGATGGAAAAGTACTGTTTATAAACTTTGTCCCTTTTGAACGGACCTTTAATTTAAAACAGAATAAAGGACTCCCCTGTGAGTTCCTGGAACTGTAAACACTCATAAAATCTCTTTGTTTACTTTATTGACTCAATTGTGACATTTAAAATAGAAACCTAAGACTATGCAAGAGCAATTTTTCTTCACAAACCATGCACATTAATAGAGATGGCTGCAGACAATGACTTTGTGCAAATTTAATAACATCTGCTGGGTAAATATTGCACTGGCTCCAAGAGAGAGCAATGTAGTAACTCCCAAGCATGCTTCTGCAAACATCCCAGTGGAGAAGGGAGCCCCCATCACTCCCAACTCAGCAAAGATTATCAGTACACATGGTGCCACCACAGTAATTATCTCTAGGGAACATGAGTCTCTTTATGAAAGGAGTAATCAAGAGGGTTGTTGAATGAGTCCCCTGATCTTTAGCAAGTCACCTCTCTGAGGTTTAGTTTTCCCATCTGTCAAATTAAACAGAGTCAAGAGATTATTCCCAAGTTCTCATCTAGTCCTGGAAGTCATAGATTCAAAGCAATAAAGCTGTTATCACAGTTTAGAAATGAGCCTACCACAGGCCAACTTGGATGGCTCCCCCACCCTTCTCAAATAAAGCATTTTTCCACTTTATAAGACTTCAGTTCAGACCTTCAATATTTACTGACCTAGGTTCTCAAGAGACTTTCCAAAGAATACAGCAGCCAAATAAAGGAGTTCCTGGGATTTGGGAAAACATATATATTTTATATCATATATATTTCTGTAACTCATAGGCTAATCAGAAAGCTCCCACACAAATGAGATTTCTAGTACAGAAAAGACTGAAAGTATATGTCAGCACCACTTTGTTTTTACTATGCAGTCACAAGGTGCAGCCTGTATCCACAGCATGAATTTAATGCCAATTGAAGCCTTAGTATGTATTATCTATTTCAAATAGTATAGAAAAGAGAGCTGCACATCTTGTCTGACCCTTCATTGAGCTGGATTTTGGACTTACCACCAACTTCTACATAAATACCTCACCTAAAGAATGAATTTGTAACTCCAACCTACTTTATTTTCATAGCATGCTTCATTCAAAAGAAAAATCATTATAGAATTTTTAGGACATCCTAAAAAAATTAAAATCCTGTAATCTGTTCTTCACCATCTATATTCAATCAGAAGAAGGGCAGAGTCAAATGCAGCTCTATTATTATATTCTGGAAGGTCAGTTCTCACTGTAGCATGATCTTAAACCATGTGACATTTTATTTTAAATGGATGTAAAACTTTCTGTCTTGATATTTTGTGACATCTGCTTACTGACCGTAAATGCTAAAGAAATATGACTTTGGGTGACCGCATGGATACTAAGACATTTTGTTTTTTTAAAAAACATTAACAAGATGCAAATGGAAGATCAAATATAGAGAACAAATTTAGCCCTCTTCCTCCTCAAAATGCAGGAGATACAGATCATCTGGCCACATCTGATTAAAAGACAGAAAGACTCATGAAGTGACCCTCACCCAGTGCAGAGCCTCCTGGTCAGTCAGATCGCTGCCGTCGGAGTTGTGTTCTCCCTCTTTGCTCTGGATTTGGTCCCTCTGAAAGTGTGAGGCACTGACTACACACAGCACTGACTGGTCACCTCCAATACATTCACCCCCAAATGGAAAATTCCTTTCTTTATGTGATTAAAGGTGGCCAAAATGGTCCAGAGTGTTATATTTCAGGGTACTTGGAAAGCAAGGGCAGATGAAGGCATGGCACAAACCATGTGAATACATTCAGTTGTGTTCCAAAAGATTCAAACACAGAGAAAATACACATTCCACCATTAACCCATCTTTTTTCTCTGTTGTTTCTTATAGTCAGTATAATCTTAAGGTTTTCAGTCATGATGGTAGGCTCAAATCATCTGATGGTGGCAGGAATCAAAGCTACTTTTGTTTTTTTTTTGTCTTTGTTTTTTTAATACCACATAAAACTCCTCTGGAAACAGATAATAGCTCTGCTTCTTACTAACTGGAATGAGATATTTTTTTAACCAGAAATCCACATGCAAATAAGAAATGCTTGAGTACAAGATACCTTTTAATTAAAACCTGCAAAAACAGGGTCTCCTTAAGACAAACCAGTGATTCAAGCAAAATGCCATGTTGCTACCACAGACCTGGAGATAAATAGGAAGTCTTTTAAGTACAGTTAAAATACAACACACAAACCTCAGAGCAACTATTTTTAAAGAAACAGCTCAAGTAAAGTGGTTGTCTAGTGCTGGGAAACTCCCTGGAGCCCACCTGTGCTTGTTCCCAGCAGAGTATGTTAGGAGTGTGTCTGGAAGAATAAAACGAGGACGCCACTCACAGGAAAGGTACAGATTTGACGGCCGTGGGAGTTCTCACATGGTGGCAAGAGAGAAGACCTTTGGTTCCATTAGAGGCAAGCTCTTCACACGCAACCATTCAAAACTGCCCAGGATTCAACATCTAGCCCTACTGTGGACTGATGCTTGCTTTTATGTAATGCTCAAGGGAAATCACCTAGTTTTGATGTGGCCTTGAGTTTGATCTTGTGAAACTGCCATAATCTTCCCATCAGAGATAAATGTGAAGATTCTGGCCTTCACTGGTATGTACATTAACACAGGCATCGTCTCTGTAGTTTTTACCAGCCCCTCTTCTAGGTTTTCCACCTCCCTGCATATGGATATCTTTGACCTACTCTGAACTCAGACCCCTAATCTTCAAGAACTTTGTCAGTCTTTATTAAAAAAATGGTCAGGCAAATAAAACAAATTTAACCTAGGTGTGGCAGCTCGGTGAGGGAAATGAAACAGAAGTTACCTAATCATAGCCATAGCCACCTGAGCTCTGCCTTACCTGTTGGGTAATAAAAATAAATGGTACCTTCCTAAACTTGAAGGGCATCAAATAAAATCAGTTGTTCAACTCTGCTTCTTGGTGGGGCTGTGCTATGCAGTTTAACCAGTGTGTCTTAACTCGAAAACACTGTCCTGAATTTCAAACACCTATGCTTTAGGAAAGGTGTTTTTTGGGGAGGGGGTGTGGGGGCTTGGAGAAGAGGTGTTTTGACATAAAGCAAAAGATGAAACACAAGCCTCTGTGAAAATAGAGATTGTCAGGAGGGCAGTAGAAGGAAGGAATAGGGAGAAAAGAAGCTTTAATTTGAAGTTAAAGTATTTTTTCCATAAGAGTAGGGTTTAGTCTTAGTTTGAGAACACTTTCAAATACCTTGGACAGCTCAAAAATGCTGTTCAGGAAATCGAAACCAAGTGAGCCAAGAATAGTCAGAACAGCAATTAAATAAAAATCCCTGGCAAAGCAGCAGGAGGATGGAGGGCTGGTTTCGCGTAGTTTTGAACCCAAGGGCAAAGCCGCGGAATCTCCTCCCGAGAGGCACCAAGACCGGCGGCAAGAGTGGGTCGGCGGGGGAGGGTTCTCTCGGACGTTCGTGCCTCCCGCCAAGTTTCTCGGGCACTCGCCCCTCCGAACCGCCCCCCGGCTGTGCTCACCTCGCCTCCGCCGCCCCGGCCCCCGTGACGCGCACCCCACGCGCTCCACCCCGGGACCGTGCCTGCGGCCGTGAGTCTCCCGGGCACCCGGAAGGTCCCGGGACGGGCAGCGAGCCTGACAAGGCCGCGGGGGCGCGGCCGGGCCCGGGGTCAGGGCGGGGGCTCCGGCGGGAGACGGGCGCCCGCTCCTGCGCGCGGCGCGGGGCTCAGCCCGCCCCCGCTCCGGGGCCACCGGCGCTCCTCGGACTGCGCGCGGACCGGCCCCCACTGCACCCCCGCCCCCCAGTCCTGGGGCTGCTGGAGGGCGCTCGGGAACCCTTCTGCGGGCCGCGGCGGCCGGGGTGCCAGCAGTCCCCTCGGGTCCCGCCCCGCCGCCCAACTCGGCGGCGGAAGCGGCGCTGGGAACCTGGCCCCTCCGGTCGGCGTGCGCCGCGAGCCCCGGAGCAGCCGCCGTTCCCGGGACCCGCTCCTGGGGGCAGGCGGGGCCGGGGCGCACGCAGCGGCGGCCGGTCGGGCCCGGGGACACCGCAGACCGGCTCGCCCCCCGCCCGGGGGGTCGCACTGCAGCCGGACGCGGCCTCCGGGCTCCGGAGCACTGCCCTCGGGAGGCTGCGTGGGGCGCGGTTCCCTCGCACGGGAGGCTCGGCTAGCGGCCGCCTCGCAGACCGGCGGCGGCAGAGGCGACGAGCAGGTACGTCCGGGCGAGGAGCGCCGCCCGCAAAAGTTGGTCCCGCTGCGCAGCCCGGGGACTTTGCTGGGCGGTGGAGCCGGGCGCGCGGGCTCGGACTCACCTGGCGCGGAGGAGGGCAGGCACGGCGAGGCGGCGGCCAGGGTGCAGGCGGCGTGCGGGACGGCGGTCAGCGGCAGCGGGGCGCGGAGTCGGGCGTCCCCGGGAGCCCCGGCTCCATGCTGGGCGGGGCGGGCGCGGCGACGCGGGGCCGACGTGGGGCGGGGAGCGGGGAGCGCGGAGCGCGGCCGCGCTCGGAGACTCGCTCCTTCTGACGAGGACCGCGCGCAGCAGCCCAAGCGGACAGCGGCGCCCCGCGAGCGCCCCCTGAGGGCGCCGAGCGCCTGCCCGCATGCGCTCGGCGCCCACGCCCGCCAGCTCCCGGACCCCTCGCGGCTCCCGGTGCCCAGACTCGTCCGTCTCCACCCCAGGGAAAGCGGTGACGTCCGGGAGCGGGTACCAGGGGTCCTTCGATTTGCACACAGGCGAGGGGCTTGGCGGATGGCTGCTCAACGGCCAACACAAATGATGAAGACCCTGCTCACCTCTATCCCCAGGGGTCTGCAAGGGCGCCTGGCCAGCGGGAGGAACCCGGTAAGTGCTTCTAGTGAATGAATGGGCAGTGAGGCTTTCCTTCACCCCCTGTCTCCCAGAGACATCCACCTCACCAGTAAGTATAAGATAAAGTCAGCTTAGGAACCCCTATGTTTCCAAATAGACATAAACACGATGTCTTATGCAAGGAGAAACCACTGCCACAGGCCAGGAAGCACTTTAGAAAGATAAAGTGTGGCTTTCCTGTTCCAAAACAGTCAAAGTCAGACAAATGGGCAATCTAGGGACATCCTGGGCATCGGTCCGGGTGTCTGCAATGGTACACAAACTAGGGAACCCCATTCTCTCAACACACAGGTATTTTCAGAACAACGAATCGGACTTGAGAATCCCGAAGGTTCAGGAGGGGTTCTGTCTGACACTGGGATGACAGGGGGGTTGCTACAATATATGGATGGGAGACAGGATGTTCTTTCCCCACAAGACCCTCAGGCACTATATCAAGACCTCTCTTGATGTAAAGGGCTTTTCACCAATCACGGAGTTCTCAATCTCAAAGGCAGTGGAGGAGAAATAATAGGATGAGGAGTATGTGCCCCACTAATGGTTCTACAGAGGCCATTAGGGGTATCTTTGAGAGGTAGAGGCAGGGCCTTCAGAAAGAAGAAATAACATCTTTCTTCCGCCAGGTGACCTCTCAAGACCTCCTGAAGTAGGATAAAACCAAACATGGACCCTTGAAAGGATCGTAATGATCTGTACACTGAAGGTCCTTTGATTCTCTGTGACTGGTAAAACATGGGTCATGTGGCTAAGCAGAGCCAATCATTGTGGCCTGGAGACGTGGGATCACAGGGACGCTCCAGAGCCCCCACCGTGTCCGGGAGCACTTGGCTTTCTCTGCAGCACTCCTGGAGCCAAAGTGGGACCCCTCCTGATTCACATGGACTGAGAGTGAAACCTAGGGATGGTGACAGCGGCGCCCCGCGAGCGCCCCCTGAGGGCGCCGAGCGCCTGCCCGCATGCGCTCGGCGCCCACGCCCGCCAGCTCCCGGACCCCTCGCGGCTCCCGGTGCCCAGACTCGTCCGTCTCCACCCCAGGGAAAGCGGTGACGTCCGGGAGCGGGTACCAGGGGTCCTTCGATTTGCACACAGGCGAGGGGCTTGGCGGATGGCTGCTCAACGGCCAACACAAATGATGAAGACCCTGCTCACCTCTATCCCCAGGGGTCTGCAAGGGCGCCTGGCCAGCGGGAGGAACCCGGTAAGTGCTTCTAGTGAATGAATGGGCAGTGAGGCTTTCCTTCACCCCCTGTCTCCCAGAGACATCCACCTCACCAGTAAGTATAAGATAAAGTCAGCTTAGGAACCCCTATGTTTCCAAATAGACATAAACACGATGTCTTATGCAAGGAGAAACCACTGCCACAGGCCAGGAAGCACTTTAGAAAGATAAAGTGTGGCTTTCCTGTTCCAAAACAGTCAAAGTCAGACAAATGGGCAATCTAGGGACATCCTGGGCATCGGTCCGGGTGTCTGCAATGGTACACAAACTAGGGAACCCCATTCTCTCAACACACAGGTATTTTCAGAACAACGAATCGGACTTGAGAATCCCGAAGGTTCAGGAGGGGTTCTGTCTGACACTGGGATGACAGGGGGGTTGCTACAATATATGGATGGGAGACAGGATGTTCTTTCCCCACAAGACCCTCAGGCACTATATCAAGACCTCTCTTGATGTAAAGGGCTTTTCACCAATCACGGAGTTCTCAATCTCAAAGGCAGTGGAGGAGAAATAATAGGATGAGGAGTATGTGCCCCACTAATGGTTCTACAGAGGCCATTAGGGGTATCTTTGAGAGGTAGAGGCAGGGCCTTCAGAAAGAAGAAATAACATCTTTCTTCCGCCAGGTGACCTCTCAAGACCTCCTGAAGTAGGATAAAACCAAACATGGACCCTTGAAAGGATCGTAATGATCTGTACACTGAAGGTCCTTTGATTCTCTGTGACTGGTAAAACATGGGTCATGTGGCTAAGCAGAGCCAATCATTGTGGCCTGGAGACGTGGGATCACAGGGACGCTCCAGAGCCCCCACCGTGTCCGGGAGCACTTGGCTTTCTCTGCAGCACTCCTGGAGCCAAAGTGGGACCCCTCCTGATTCACATGGACTGAGAGTGAAACCTAGGGATGGCTCCCCAGGAGAAATTCAGGATCTTCCTTTGGGGGCAGAAGAAATGAATGCTGGGCAGGCAAAGTCAGCATGTTTACTAAATAAGAAAACATTAAGTCAGAAACAATTCTTTTCAGGTTTAAATGAGAAGTAGCCTCAGATATGAACTTGACGTTTGAACTGGACTGAATGTACAAATACGAATGGGAGATCTTTGCATGTTGGTCGCATCCTCTGGAATTTAAGTCCCATGGAGGCTGGTGATAGTCTGTTTTGTTTTCTTGTTCATGACTGTAATGCCTATGCATAGTGCAAAATCTGTCACTTAGCAAGTAGTCAATAAACATTTGTTAAGTTAAATTTTTAAAAATACTTTGAGGTCATTTAAACAAACCTCTTTTTTAATAGGTGAGAGAAAAGGATTTAAAAAATGCTGAACATATACTATTTCCAGGCATCTGTTAGGCACTCATTTAACCATACCATTTAATTTTCTCAAGAACTGCTCGTGTAGGTTTATTATATCTATAAAATACCTGTGGTCTGGGTAGTCAGAATGACCAGACCAGGAAACAAAACCAGTTGGGGGAGCATAATGCCCCCAGTGAATGAGGGGGCAGGAAGTGCTAACTGAAGCTGGCTAGCTGAAGGGGTAGCTAAGAGTGGCCCACCGCCATGGGCCCCAGGTGGAACTGTACAGTCAGACCCACAGGAAGGAGCCCACACAGTCACCTTTGGATCCCATGTTAAAAGCACAGACACACAAACCAAATGCAGTGCTGTTACTTGTGACAAAAATGATTTCCTCTTCCAGCAGGCTCCAGCTCCCTAATTAGAAACAGTCGCCTGCAAGCCAGTGTGCAGAACACACGTGCAGCTTTGTGCCAGAAAGTTGGATTTTTTTTTCTCAAGGCATGACACTGAAGGCAAATGCTAAGAGGCTCTTTGGAATGTGCATTAAGCAGAATTTACCCACAGCTCACCTCTACACATGAAAATATATAACCAGCTAATGAACTGTGGTCTCATTCACTGCCCCACAAGAAGCTGCTCACCAGCCAAGTCCCTTTAACAACCGTGGCATCAAAATGCCTTCTCTGTATCACTCACTTCCTTCCAACTCTTCTTTTCATGGATTCTGAGCCGCTGGATTCCACAGCCATAGTCAAAATTACCTAAAGCCAAGCAGAAGAGGTGTTCCCAAGCCACTAAAGAAGTTCCAGCTCTGGGTAGAGTCACTGGCTGGGTCTCTGCTTGATAGCATAAGGGGAGGTATCCACTCACTGTCCTATGCCAATATGAAAGGCACCCCACCCATCATTGTGACAAGTGAAATGCTGGAATGGAGCCGGGGAACAAAAGGAAGAAATGTGGATCCTTACTAAAGCAGTTGCTACCATTTTTTAAGTGTAGCAGATGAAAAAGGGGAAAAACAGGCAGTCAGTGCCCTGCATTAAAAGCCTTGGATCCTCCCCTGAATGAGTCAGGGTGAACATTTTGTTTTGGCGTTGAATTTATGTTTTTTGTTTTTTTCTCACTGTAGGATGGTTATGTACTCAACTAATCAAGGGGACTGCTGCAAATAACAGGTATTTTTGAAGCTTTGGATTGAAAAACAAAAAACCTTGCATTTCCCCACAGGGCTATTTATAGCTCACAATGTGTTCTTCCCCGCCCTCCTCCCCACCCCCACCCCACCCCCCGCGCCAACCCCCCGCCATTTCATGTGTTTTGAGAACTGACTGACGTGTCTTCCTCATGCTCCTGCATATGCCTGAGATGGGCTGTCACTGGAGAGCAGAGAGAAACACTGCAAGAAAGCCCCTCTAAGATGCTAAGAGTCATGAGAGGGTTGATCCGCAGCCCCAGGTTGATAGAGATCACATCTAGCACTGTCTGTCTTCTGTACAGGGGGCCCCTGTATGACCTCTCATGCCTCTATAAAAAAATCCATCAGCGACAAGCTTGTGCTACAAAGGGTTACCTTATACTTTTATCTACCAATAGGTGGCATTAAAATCCCTCTAGTATTTTTCTTCATTGCATTTTAAAAACCATAGACAGGTAGTATTTTCTTTCTGAGATTTTACATTTTACTATTTTAAAGAAAACTAAATCAGCTATTATTTCAGAGCAGATTATCATATTTATCTTTTAATTAGGCTTCTCAGTCACCCCTCAAAGCCTCAGTTATCTCATTGTGAAAAGACGATATTTGACTTGAACTCCAGCTCTGGGATTCTGATTTTCAGCTACATGATACGTGCCCAGCCACACCACTCCTCATGTTTGTGATAAACCCATTAAAACTCCATTCTTTCAGGTTTAAGTAATGTTAGCATGCAGCTACCACTCTATTGCAGAGACTGCTATTTGCCTAGCCTATAATCATTTTTGTTTGTTTGTTTTTCCTTGCTAAGAAAAGCATAATTTTGTGGGAGGTGGAAGGTGCTCAAACCAAAACCCACATTTCCCAGCCTTTCTTGCAGATGGATAGTCATGTGACAAAGGTCTAACCCTGAACTAATATAGTAGCTATGCACATTCAGAGATATTAAAATTAAATAAAATTCAAAATTAACTTCTGTGGTCACACCAGCCACCATGACATGGGGCTAGTAGCGACCATCTGGGATGGTTCAGGTACAGAACATTCCCACCATCACAAGGAGTTCTGGTCCAGCCATTGAGACATCAGTGGAAGTGAGACGACAGTTTCCACGAGAGTCTGAACAGGAAGGAGATGCTGAGTCAGCAGGCACTTGCCTTTATCTTCTTTTCCCCTTGCTCCTCCCTTCTTTCTATCTGGAGGTGAAGGCGAGTCAGCCATCACGTGACTAGGAAGCAGCCAGTATTTGCCAGGCAAGCTAAACAGAAAGATAAAAGGAACCGGGATCTTTGGTACCATGAAGACAAACATATTATCATCAATTTTATTATGATAAAAATAAAACTGCCACTATTTGAAACAAGTCACTGTTTTCAGCTTTTTACTACTAACAGCCAAATGTTATTTCTAACTGATATACCCTGAGAAAATTAGCTGGATAGTTTTCTATTAATGGATTTGGATAAAGAAGTTTCTTTACAGTTTCCTTTACTTTGGACAGAGCTGAAAACAAGATCCTGGATAAAAAAAGCAAAATAATGTAAATTCCACAATGAGATAATTATTAATGACTCACTTAAATATGCCAAGTGGGCCCAAAGGGTGCAGATGGGACATTAATAATTTCCCAAATATGTATAGTTTGACTGAAGAGCAGCTTTGCATTTTCTTGGATAAGAGGTTAGTCTATGTCAAGAGAAAAGGAAAATAGTATTTGAGCCTGTTGTATACACTAAAGATTTGGCTGAATGGTTTAGCAACATTATCATGTTAAAGTCTCATGACAGCCCAAGGTAGTGTTCATATCTCCCTTGTTTTGCAGATGGCAAACAGGCTGAGCAGTGAGTATCCTGTCAGACTCTGCACAGCTAGCTAGTTTCGGAGGTGGTCTCAATACCGCCACTGCATAAAACAGGCCCCTGTATGTGAGCACCGTCAGGTCCACGGGCACCTACCTGCTCATTTCAGGGCTCACTCCTTCCTCCGTACCATTTTTTCACAGACCTGATTATTTTCTACCATGGAAAAGATTGATGACACTTATCTTCAGCATCATGAACTGTAGACATTGACCAGGCAGGTTAGAGCAAAAGGCTTCCCAAGAAGGGAGCAGCTTAAGCAAAGGCTCCAGGTCAGGAGCAGGCCCAGCCTGGCCACGGAGCCCAGAGGCTGAGGACCCACCATCCTGGGGTAGTGGGCAGGGGGAGCAAGGGCCTGCACGAAAGGCACCCTGAGACCTATTTGAGGAGTCCCGATTCCCTCCCAGGAGCCACTGGCTCCCAAATCCCCCCAAGTTTCGGAATTTTCCTTAGTCCATGGTGAAAGGAGGAAAAGTATAAGATTTTTTCTATATAGCTAAATTAATTTGGGGGATCTTTTCCTCATTTTTTTCAATAAACATTAGACACTGCCTTCTTGTCATCAATTGCTCTGAGATTTTGTCATTTTTAAAATGTCATTACTTAGCGAAATAAAAAACTTATTAGCCAAGGGCAACTCCAGAAATGTGTTTTGAGATCTGTTCTGTGAAATCTAAACATTTGGAACATCAAATTTAGAAAACATTGGGAGGACATGGGAATACATTGAAGAATTTTGCGCAATGTGGTGATCAGATGTTAGGGTTAAATTAAAGAAGGACCAGAGAGATGGGGAATACTGGACTCAGGCGTCTTCCCACTCAATTATTCCACTAGCTCTTTTGTGAGCATGGTCTGAGATTTGGGACACAACGATGGACCAGACCAGACAGGTAAAGCCCCTGCCCAGAAAATAAACAAGACAGGAGGTTGGAAGTCATGGAGAGGTGAAAATGAGAGAGAGGAAGCAGAAGAAAGGATAACTATAGATTCCAATAAGGCTTCCAAGAGAAAGAAAGAGGGTGATGAGACAGGAAGTAGCTGGGAGATGCTTCCCTCTTAAGAAGACCTCTCTCAGGGAAACGCATTGAGCTGAGAACTAGAGGGTATGAGTGGTTCTCAGCATGCAGAGACCAAAGGGAAGAGCGTTCCAGGGAGAGGGAGCAGCAAATCCAACAGCCCAGAGGTAGGACACTTATTTAAGTTCTCAATGATCAGGTTTAAGAGTTTGGACAACAGGATGAGGTGGTTACACCACACCAAACTCCTTAAAGGGGAAAACAGGAAAAAAGGATAAAAAAGATAGGAGGAGGCCTCAATAACGCAGAACACTTCTCTTGTTTGTATCATTATTTAAACACATTTTTGAACATCTAGTCTGTGCCAAACACCTTCACAGGTACTGGTGTTGACTGTCCTCATTCTTCAGGATCACGTAGCCCAGTGTAAAGCATAGAACAGAAAATACACCCCAGAGGTATAGTCTACATGAGCCCCCTGGTTGGGAGCCCCCTACCCCCCTATGGGTTACTTCCATCCCATAGTTGTAAGACAAGATCAGCTCTCACTGACAGGGAAAGGAAGGCCTCTGAGTTATGAGCTCAGGTGACGAACATGCAGAGGGCTGTTTCTGGAAGCATAAGTCCATATGTCCACCAAAGAGATTTAGAGGAAGAACAGATTTGAGGACATTAATGGAAAAACCAATGAAATCCAAATAAAGTTTGGAGTTTACTTCATAGTACTGTCCCTGTGTTGGTTTCCCAATTATGATAAATATTTCATGGTAATATGATCTATTGACATTAGGGGTAAATGGGCAAGAAGTATATAGAAATTCTCTGTACTATCTTTACAACTTTTCCCTAAATCTACAATGACCCCAAATTAAAAAGTTTATTTAAAAAACAAAACACAGCTTTTCCACTTGTTTCCTTTGGATAAAGTTAGGCCAGTTGAGGTGAGGGATGTGCATAATTTTCAGGTTCTCAATACATTTTGTGAAATTGCCAGGATAGCAATTTAACTTAACCCATCATTTCGGCCAACTTTGTAAGTAAAAACCTTACTTCCTCTGCTTGACATCTTTAAGTCAACTGTCTCCTTAGCAAATTCCACAGGAGGACATTCCCCAGTTAATTCCTAGCAGAACGCAGAGGGAATATTGAGGAGAAATGCCAGAGGATCAGGACCCAGCTCACCTTTCCCAGACTGGCTGGTTTTCAACCAGTGAAGGAAAGAAGAAGTGACAAAAGGAAACAAAACAGAGACTCTTGGAAAGTCAGAGGATGCTGCTTTTACATAGTCATTTTTCTGATTGCAGCTCTGCTGTCTGTGTTTTTCAAGCAGTACTGCCTTTACCATGAATCACCAGTGTTCAAAGGTGGACCAAAATAACACATTCTTCCTCTGGAGAAGAGAAGGTGAAATCCTATCTTTCTGAGGGTATTCTTGAGGGAAAAAGAAAGAGCAAGAGAGAGACCACATTGCCTACTTTTTCTAAAAGCAAGGCCTTTAATTTGCTCTTGGAAACCTTTTTTTAAAAACACTTGCCAGTTGGGAAAAGCATCAATAATGCTAAGGTGTGCATTGAGAAGTTGACCTGTGTCTGGCACCCCTCCTGGAGCCTGTGCAGTGATCCATGTCATGCCAGATCTTGCTGTTTTACTTACAGGAAGGGAGACATTAACAGCTACAGAGTGTCTGTGTACCAGGCATTGTATAAAACCCCTTCTGGAGTGTTCTCATTGACTTCTCCCAGCAGTGCAGGGAAACAGTGTGAAGGATTCCAAAATGACTAGTAGTCCTCTCTTCCTGTATCCAAGCCTCTGCAGCCCTTCCCATAAGGTAAGGAAGACACTTTAAGAAGTTTAAGGAGTCTGGCGCATTTTCTCCCTGAGAACGAGCCCAGGCTGTCTTGATGGAGAATGGCTAAGAGATGGGTGAGAGATGAGCCATTCCAGCTGAAACCCAGCCATGTGAGACAGACAGCTCTCAGCTGGCCACGAACACACAGATGAGCTGTGCCAAAACTCCTGAGTCAGTGAGAAGCATGAGCTAACAAGTGCTTATTATTATACTAAGCCTCTGAGTTCCAGAGGTGGTTTGTTATACATCAATAGTGAATTGATACAAGAAGATAGTCTTATTTCTTTTTAGGATGTAGAAAATTGAGACACAGATTGCATAATTTCCCAAAGCCACACAGCTAGTAAATTGGAGATAGGATTTAATCCAGGGACTAAATAAATCTAAGGTCTCTATCCCTTCAGCTGCAGCCCCTGCCATAGAATGGTCACCAGCACAGCCGATGTCACAGCTATTTACATAGGATAAGACTAGTCACTTTCCTAGCTGCCTCCTGGGTAGTGTGCAACATGCATGCTCATACATGTTTGCAAAGATTGATCTGTTCAGGGGAGAGAATGAGCTACTTTTTAATTCATTCAAGATGCATTCATCTTGGTGTAAATCTGCGATTGCATCCTAATGACAACTGGCTTCCTTTTGACAAACTGACATGTTTCTGTCTTCAAAGCAAGTCACTTTGGGGATAACCATTCAGCCTCCGTCCTCCCTTCTGGGGGGCTCTGCCTCACTCTTCCAACCCTCCTTTGTGTCATGGTCTATTTCCAAACCTTTACCCTTTTATATCCTGAGCTCACTCCCTGCCTTTCTCTGTCTCTCAAACCTTTATAACAGTAGTTTAATCCCTAAAAGCCATTCCCTAACTCCTACTTTTTTGATGACTTCCTTTTCTGGTCTTGCATGTGTCCTCTCTAGTTCATTACTTCTAGATCCTTTCTTCGGTAACAGGATGGTGAATGCTGCTATGCCATCCCTGTGCCTGATACCCTTTGATACCTTCCTGCTGTCCTGGAATTCTTAATCTGAAATCCCTGCTCTGTCGGGCAGGCTCAGCGCCATCTAGCCCTTCCGCCCCCTGGCTCGATTTCAGGCACTGACGCCGCCCGGCCCCCAGGCGCCCGTGCTGTCTGCAGCCTCACCGCATTTCTTTCAAGTTCCCCAGCTACTGTTTTTGAGCCTCTCCACATGCTGACTCCTCTGCTATTTCACTGATGTGGGCACACGCCCGCATGCATACACACACACACACACACACACACACACAAAACACTGGCTAAAGTAATAGAAGAAATTTCCTTTCTTCCAGGAAGCCCACCCTGAATCTCCCAAACAAGATAATGTGGATCCTGTTCCTGCCCACAAGGAACCTGTACTCACCCAGCTATAGCGTTTACTGCTCTGTACTGTATTTGCTGTTTAATTACCTGTATTTCATTTGCCACTGTATACCCACAGGTAGAATGCAGTTTTGTACATAACAGACTCTCAATAAATATTTACTGAATGAATGAATCGCATGTTGTTATTCTTCCTTATGTATGCTTTATCCTCAAAGAAATTTTCATAATTTTTAATATTCAATGTACAAGAGAGCAAAGTTGGAATAGTTTCAAAAGAGGGAGGCTGACAATCAGGTTTTACCCAGTAACTCTGGCCTGGTTTATTTCTCTGACAGATTGTGAAATACTTGCAACTGTTTAGACTACACGTTCCCATGTCCAGAAGATGAGAGAAAACATTTCCTTCCATAAATCCCAAGGAAAAGCTCCAAGGTTCTGTTCTGCTTGGATGGGCCAGGCTATGGGCTGGGATGCTGTGATGTGCCAACAGCCTTCGTCCTCCGCAGTGAGCAGGGGAGGGGGAGGAGCGGCTGATTAGATGAAGGCTAGGGTATCATTAAGAAGAGAGCCCTGGGTACCAGCTGTAGCTAATACCACCCTGCATTTGCCACCACAGAGTTTCCGTGACCATATGCCTGGCACTCACATCACGTGTGATCTCTGCATGGTCTGCTGTGGGTACGCCAGCCTCTCACCTACCCAGGAGCTGCTCCTCAGCACCACCCTGAGATGGAATGGCCCTTAGGGCAGGGCTGCTCTAACATGACTAGCAGGGATTTTTAGCCTCTGGATAAAGAATCACTCAAAGCCACAATCTTAAACGCACAGCCCTCACTGAATCCTTCTAAGAGCTGCTCTTCAAACATGCTCTCCTAACTCCAGCTGCCAGCTACTGCTTGACTTGGGAATCGCTTCTCCCTCTTTGGTCTTATTTTCCACTTCCATTCCTCTCACTGGAAGCCTCCATGCTTCACCTATGCTGCATCAGTGGAAAGGCATTTGATATTTTGTTCTTTGGGGACAGAAAGAGTAGCTTGCAGATTAGGCCCAAACTAAAAGCACGTCTCCGCCCTGAGCAGAGCCTGATTCTGTCTGCACTGACCACAAAGCTTCCTTTCTAGCTTTAGTAGGTCAGAGATTTTACCATTCAGCCCCTTGCCTAACAATATTAACAAAAAAAAATCAGTACAAGCAGGATAAAGAAAGATGTCAGTCAGGTCATTTAAGGGTGTGGTTCAGGCCATCAAACTTGTAGAAACTGATTCAAGGCATCAAAATATCTTTGCTTTTTATATATATCACATCAACTAGACTTCAAGACTCATCTTTATTTTGTAAATATTTTCCCATCCATAAAAACCAAGGACAAGGATCACTATACTCTATATTCCACAGCCTCTGATTAGTGTTGCCACAGTAGGAAGTCAACCTGTAATGCATTTCTTCTTCCTTCATGGGATATAGAAGAACAGAATCAAAGCAAGTGTTGGCCATTATTCATCCATTCAGTAAGTATTTGCAGAGCAACTTTTATGTGCCTGGTCCTCTGTTAGTCCCTGGAGACATAAGGTGAAAAATTAGACTGAAATTTCATGAAATGATAGCTCCCATAAAACATGGTGAAGTCATGAGAATTTGCAGGGGGTGTGGCAGCACAAGGCTGGGGAAGTCCACCTACTCCAGACCTGGGAAGGTTCCCGAAGAGGAACTTAGAGTTCTTATGGGTTGGCCAGGGAAGCAGGAGTGAGAGAAGAAAAGGCAGAGAAAGGATTGTGTGCATACAAGTCCAGAGGTAAAAGTGGTTGGGGAGAGAGATGGGAGCGCAAGGTGGGGCGAGGGTGGGTTGGGCCCAGGGTGGAAATGGAGATTGGTTGATTCAGTGACATTCAGTCCCATGAGGATGACAGGGAAGGAGTTGAAGAGGCTATGGGAGGCAGATCATGGAAGGTCTTATAATGCTATTAAGAAGTGAACTTTAAGGAGTCACTGGAAAAAATTTAAAAGGGGCTGGCAGGATTTTATTTCCATTTTAGAAAGGTCCTTCTAGCAGCTTGGTGCAAAGCTGATTAAAGGTGAGCAAAATGGGAGGCAGGGAGGTTACTGAGAATGGTGGCAGTGATCTGGTGAAAGATGATGGTGGCCTAAACGCAGGTGGTGAGTGAGACCGGAAGAGCTGGGTGATTCCAGAGATATTCCTAAGATAAAGATTCATGTGACTTGGATTCATTTAGCATGTATCCAAACGACATGAATAGTTCAAATGTATGGCATCATTTACTCGGGGTTTTAACCACTGTAGCAAATGCTCCTCCTCCCTCCCACCCCTCACCAGACCTCCTCTGCCTGAACCTGAAGTTGCCTGTAGGCAGTGGCCATGCACATAGACAGCTGCCTGCACTCATGCCGGGGGCTTTTCTCTGGCCACTGGTATAGCTGAGGCCAGAATACAAGTAAGCATATGCCCCCCAGGACCCTCAACCAAAGAGGGATGAAGTCTGGTGGATAAGTATCCCAATGTCCTCGTCCTCTGATGGGACAACTCTGCAGCATATTCTGTCACCACTCAGAAGTCCTCATCCAGACTGGGCCCAGCTGGCCACAGTGGCCACCCATTCACAGATGCGTCCCTATTGGCTCTATGGCCTTCCCTGGCCCCTCCCTTCTGCTTCCCTAGATCACCTCCCAAATGAACCACTTGCCCTTATTCCAGGCTCAGCTTCCAGGGAAACCCAAATTAAGTATTACATTGTTCCTAGATTTATTTATGGAAAGAGAACTTTTGAAGCCCATCCATCCCTCTGTGAGCCCTTCTCACTCAGCAGAGGTGATCCAGGCCAGATGCCATCAGGTCCAGCTCTCTGGAAGGAAGGCAGGTATTAGGTTCTAATCAAGTCCTGCCCCTGCCCTCCTCGCCAGGGCTGCTGCTGGTCCAGGTCTCTGCTGAGATTCCCTTTTCTTCACCGTGACTGGGGGCAAGCAGAGGAAATAGGCCTACTGCAGATCACCTGGAATCAAATCCCTCAGCCTTTTGAACCTCGGCTTTATTCACGTGTATTAATCTTTGCGGTGGCTTTGTAAGGAGCCCCTACTGGGACAACAATTAGTTTAGCACATAACATTGTTCGGCTTCCTGGATTCTATACAGATTGAATTTTAAAGGAAAGCATACCCCATTACCAAGGGATAGATCGGAAGACAAATACCCTACACTGACCACCTTCAATCGCACCTCACAGGGCCTCGTGACATAAGGTGAGAACAGAGTCTTTGAAAACCAAGATGCGTGTCAGGTCCCCAGACTCATTTCCTCATTGAGCAGCGTGGTCTCTGCCCTGCCAATCCAGACTAAACGACCATGTCTGTGCATCAGGGAGGGGACTGGGCACAGGAGAAGAGCAGATAAGGAGAGGCCAAAGCTACCATTTCTGACCCCTTAAAGTGTCAGACGGGAGACCCAATACATAAATACATGTACTTTGAATATGCCCTCTCATTGACTCCTCACCATAGATCTACATGAGATGTTATTCTCATTTATACATGAGGAATATAAAGGTCAAGCAGTGAATAAATGTGCCCACATCATACAGGTGTGGGTGGTAGAGACTGGATTTAACCTAGGCCTGTTTGGCTCCAAAGCTCATACTTCTGCCACTTTGCCTTTGGATTTCAAGCCATTTTTGCTCTGTTCCTGTGGATATTCCCCAGAGGTGAAGAAAGCTTTTCTTGGAAGCTTCAGCAAGAGCAGTTATTTCCTGGTACCTGGGCAGTCCCACCAATGGCTGTATTAAGAACACAAGTGCTGACCCCACTTACTTCCCCCAAGCCCAAACCTACCAACATATCAGTGAACTGTCACTGTTTCTGCATGCCTTCAGCCAGGAGCACCTTGAAGTCTGATAAGAACTTAATAATCATAACAAGAAACGTGCTCTTTCGGGTAAAGGTCACAGACCCCGTCTCCCTGCTCACAGTGGTAACTGCAACTGCAGAAAGAACCACCGCAACCACCTACTTAGGGAAATGGCGCTGAGCCGGAGCAATGGAGGAACAAGAGACTTTGGTGCCGCATAGAAGGTCAGTGCTGGGCAGCGGGGATGAGCCAACAGGCCTGAGAACAACCACTAACGGCCCCCAGATTAGCGCAGTCAGGACTCTGGGGGGAGCTGTAAAACTCCCTCAGCCCCATGCCTATCTCATGGAGCTCCAGGGCTGCAAGGAGCTCCCAGCACTGCCCTGGGCCTCCCGGCCGAGCGGCACAGGGAGGGAGGCAAAGTGCTGACAGCCACCCAGACCTACTGCCTCCGGGTCCTTAGCAGAACAAGACAAGAAATGTGCCTACAGGCCCGGGAGCCTCAGAGGAGACCCCCAGCTTGGAACCGTGAATAAGGAGACAAATCTCCAGATTCTGTTTTATTTTTCTTCACTGGCAAGAATGGAAACAGTCACTGGGAGTAGACAGGCAAGTGGAAATGGGATGAGCAGCCAGGACGACCTCACATATGTGAGCATGGTCCACACTGACCTGGTGGGCAGAGTCACGCAAAGAGACCCCCGTCCTTTCTTCCCTCCACAGGAATGGAAAACACCGCCAACCACGTGTGCTGAGTCCTGATATGTGACACGTGACAAGGCTTCAGAAGGGAGAGACGTCCCAGGTCTTCCAAAGACCACGCACAACCCAAGTCAGCCTCTCCCACATCCCTCCCATTCTCCAGGCTATTTTTTAAAATGGGTAGAACTCAGAATATATACACCTTGAAGTAGCTCAGAGGAGAAAATCAAAAAAGGTACAGAGTGAGAAGAGAGTCAAAAAGAATCCGTCCTCATTACTAGGAAAAACCGAGACACTGGGCAAAGATGTCTCCGTGAGGCACGGGGGGTCAAGAGGACCTACTGTAGCCAGACAGATGAGAGCGCACGAGAGCAGGGAGCAGAGGGGGGCAGGAGGCGACAGGGGGCCGAGGAGCCTGAGACATGCGCAGGGCAGCGTCCAAACACTCCGCCCGGGAGAGGATTCCCTCACAGCGCC